TGTGACAGCCCTGCTCCTCAAGGGCCGGGCAGCCTCTAGAAACACCTTTCTGGCTCCTAAACACGGAGCGTGACCAGTTTCGAGACGCTCACTGTTTCCAGCCACAGACCTGCCGTACCCGTGAGCGGGCGGGGGTTTAACCACCCCCCACAAAGCGGGGACTGGGTGGCTGCAGCCCCTCCTACGGCCGGTACAGCTCCTGCCTTCGCTCTGCAGAGCACGCGAGGGCGTCCCCTCTGCCCTGACAGAGCACAGACCGGTGAAATTCTTTTACCCATCCTCCAGATCATGCATAAACCAACAGGATTTTCGTTTAAAACGTCAAACCAGATTAAAAGGTAATTCATGCAGAACAGCACCGAGGTTGTCTGCCTTCCTCCCCGGTCCCCCAGTGGTGCAGAGGAGTGAGGGGACATGAACTGGGGGGAATCCGAAGCCTGTCCCTGCCTTTCTGCATTTCTTTAGGGAGAGTTGTCAGGTTTTCCATCATGCAGCCAGGGTGGGAAGTGGGGCGAAAGCTTAAGCACAAGGACTGCAGGAAGCCCCCAGCCAACCTTCCCCCTCTGTATGTTCGTTAGAAAACAGACGAGGGCTTTTTCCACAAAGCGAGAGGTGACAGGTGAAGGTGAAAGTGCTTGAGGCTGTTTCGCTGGGGAAGGGGAACCGTGCATTGCAGCCACAGCATTTTCCTCATGTGCATCTGCCCGGGCTTTACAGTCATTTTCTGGGAGGGAAGTATTGCTCTGACAGGACCTAAAATTCACAGACAGGCCGCGAGGTGTCGGGATGCTCCGATAAGGCCTTGTAGAAGAAAACACACTGTACAGTGGGTACGGCAGAAAAACACCCGCAGCGTTAATTGTACTTCTGCCAAGTTGCAGTTACACAAGAATAGCGCAGTTATGATTATTCTTGGTCTGGAAATCTTCTACACAACGTTTATATATTGTGTTTCTCAGTTTAATGTAACAGACTCTCTCTAGCAACCATACAGGTAGTTCCAGGTGGGAGGACATACCCTCTTTTAACTATCAACCTGTTAACCTCACCGTATTGTGGCGATTCCATAGAAAATCCTAATCAACAAACCAGCACCTCCAGTTGATGATTACAAGGCCAATCCCACGGAAGCTTTTTCTCCTGCAATAGTACAGGCCGTCTCTCCTGGCTTGAAGGGCTGCTTTAGGAAGAGGTTAAGTAATTACACACAATTTTCGTATCAACATGTTTGTTTAAAAGATTTTTCTTTAATTACGCACAAACCACGATACCTTGCTGCTGCAGGTCAGGCCTCCAAAAGCTTCAGCTACAATTAAACCGTTGTTTGTAGAATTCTACAAATCACAGCCAGCCCCGCTCCCGCCACCAACACCCGTGCAAGTCACTGTGCGCTCGGCAGAGATGACAGAGCTCATTTGGATGATCACTGGCTAAAGATGGGGAAGGTTCTTGTAATGGAGAGCAAAGTCTCTGCGCCAGCGTCTGAACACGGCAGGGAAGAATTTGTGCCTTAACCCCTGACCCTGAAAGCAAAGCTAGACCGAAATGGGATGAGGCTGCTAGCGACACCACAGCCTAGCCCAAGGGAAGTTCTGTTTCTTAATTGGCAGCCTTGGTGCTCTGAAATGTAGACAGATATGCCTTGATTGAAGGTTACCTTTTTTTTGCGGGTGCTCAGTGGGGATCACCAGCCTTCCCAAAGCAGTAACCCACTGAAAAAATGGAAAACCACCTTGCAGGAGGCCCCACGCTTTCAGACTGCTTCGTATCAACAGGAACGTGACGCTGGAGAGCACAGAGCGGTGACGGCCGGAGACCTGGATGAGCGTTTGGTGGCAGAATTACTGTTACGTTTTCCACTCATTTTACCCTCGAAGCGTGTCCGGGCCGTTCCCTTCGGCGCGTCGGGC